GCCAAGAGAGAGATAGAGAGGGAGCAGAGAAGAGATAGAGAGAGAGATGAGAACAGGAGAGAGGAGAGAGAGAGAGAAGAGAAAGCGACGAGAGAGGGCGAGAGAGAGAGAAAGAAAACAGGAGTATAATGAGATCACGACTTGAGGGAAGATAGGGGAAGTAGAGGTAGGGGAAAGAAGGGGAGGGAGGAGTAGACAGGAAGCCGCGGAGCGTAAGCGCGAATCCGAACTCTATGATGTACGCGTACAGTTTAATTCTACACATTGTATGCTTTGATACCATACTGTTTACAGGGAACACAGAAATTAGGTTTTCATACAAAATTTGTTGGAGAGTCAAATTCCGCCGGCACATTCTGGGAGAAATCTACCGCGATATTGGAAACGTGTTTTAACTACTATCTTTAACATCGCAGCTACGCTAAACGTATTTTACTCAGTTGCTAGGAAGATTACGTCGTGTTTGGGAAAGGGAACTAACACGGTTTACCGGCTTTGGCTTCAATTTCAAGGCATGCTGCGTATTTGGCCGCCAGAGGGCTCAGCTGTCGTCGACGACTGTCACTAATGTGTCATTTACTGCCAAAACCTTGAGATGACGTGACACTGCGAATTTGTGCGTGCGCAGAGGCGCGGTTCGTCGCGTGCTGGTACTACCCGTGTGATGAACACGAGTCGCAAGAGAAAGCACGACGTCCGCGAGAGGGCGAAGTTCATTGGGACCGTAGTTTTTGTTCGCGAGCAAGTCAATCGGTAAATCGGAGATGATAGAATTTGTCAACGCCGGGAGATTGCGCCGAACAAGCCACGCGCGGTGGATGCAGTTTTCTTCCTCCTCACTGAATAAAAAAATACTGCTCCAGGCAGCATCATTGGCACTCACAGCTTTAACTAAAACATACACGGCTGGAAATACCGTCAGAAAATTCGGTCGTGTTTCTATTAGCCCTTTCTCTCCTTCAGACTGCGGTCACTGATTGCCTGGAACACCGAAACACCTGCGACTTCCGTGAAAAGAAATGCGGAGGAAATGAAGCGACTTCACTACGTTGTTTCGTCGGCAGCGAGTCCTAGAGCACAGATAAAAGAAGCTGGTGGCTACTATATATAGAGATTATGTATATCCGGCATCATGCACGCACGTACACGCGCGCGCGCGAAACACACTGATATAAACGTAATGATGTAAACTCTCGGCGACGTGCGAATGGATGGCGCGTACACATGCACGCCGCAGCAAATCGCACATACGGACGAACCGCACAAACACGCAGACATGTATCACGACATTAGCACAACCCGCAGGCACGGCAACGTAGGCACGGACGCACGCGTGCACAGAACGGCGCCTTTCCATGCCGTAATCTTACACACAAACACCGGTTAAGGCACACGCACAGCGTGGCGCGCATTTCCCGAAACGCGCAAAGCCTGTGGCGCGAAGCCAGGAAAGCGGCTTTCGAAACGTATATACTTTTTACAAAAACCTCACTCGAAATAATTGGAATTTTCGTACCGTCACTCTAATTATTGGCAACAGGAATCGACCAGAAATCTTGCGTAGTATATAAGTATTTATAGCGGTCGATCCCAAACACCCGGTATAATCCTGTATTGTCTTCGGGCGAGATGATGGGGAGTGGGGGGAAGAGCAGGCGAGGAGAAAGTGAGCGGCGACTAGGGGAGCGGGGGAGGAAAAGGATAACGGGTTGAGACAAAAGGAGGAGGAGAAACGAATAATGATGAAAAGGATAGAGGAAGAGGGGGAAAGGAGGGGAAGGAGGAGAAAGAGGAGAGATGGGAGGAGGAGAAGTGGAGGAGGAAGGATGTGAAGGAGAAGAAAGAGGATGGTAAATCGGAGGCAGAATAATTCCGCATTCCGAAGCCACACGACAGTTTCGTTTTCTCTCGATTTCATTTCTCGTTTTTACTCTCACCGCTCCGCGCTTGCTTCTCCCGTCCTGCTCGTTTCCTCATTTTCTCCCTCCCCGTCCCTCTTCTCCCATCTTCCTCTGTCCCGCTATCGTTTCTCACATCCACAGTCTGCTTGACCATTTCCGCACGTCGTCTCTCGAGCTTTTTATTTCAACCCCCGCTCTGCCCGTCATTCTCTCTTTCTCTCTTTTTCTCCTCTCTCCCTCCTCTCTCTTTTTTCTTATCTCTGTCTCATCTCTCTCGATCGCGGCTCCTCTCTCTCTCGCCTCCGACTCCTCTCGCCCTCTCTCTTTTCTTTCTTTCTCACTACCAGCGGCTAACGGCACAGGCGATGGACAGCTGTTCGTAGCGCCGGTGGCGATTGAAGTTAATTTACGAGTAATTTAGTTGACTAATTTGCGCTGCATTCGCCAAGCGAACGCTAGACTTGGTCACTAGAACAACTGGCTAAGACTCCTTACAAACCCACGCTCGTCGTCAGCAGCGGTTTGCAGTGTTTGCTGCAAGCGTAAGCTGTGGTGGCTTCAGATAGGCAGGCCCTGGCTCCGCATGTTGGTGAACCAGGCGTAGCGGGATACTTAAGTTAGTTGTGCAGGGCGAGTTAGTTAGTTTAGGCGTGAAGAGAGTATGTATAGATAATAGTCAGTTAGTTAGGTAATTTATTATTAGGTTATATTGTTGTTAGGTAATTAGTTAATTAGTTAGTTAGTTAGTTAGTTAGTTAGTTAGTTAGTTAGTTAGTTAGTTAGTTAGTTAGATAGTTAGATAGTTAGATAGTTAGATAGTTAATTAGTTAGTTAGTTAGTTAGTTATTTAGTTAGTTAGTTAGTTCTCGCCTCTGCTCATGATCCTGACCTGTTGCCCTCCTTGTTGCAACGGTATGCGAAGCCCGCACTCTACATGTAACATCGAGTCTGCAGTCTACACACTGACTTTTAAAATAGCAGTCATACGATTTAGATTTTTTAGATTTAAATTTTTAGATTTTGAAATTTATTTACGCTTTCAAGTATATTACATTGTTACATATATCACAACCATTTTTTTAAAATAAATACAGCGAGGGAGGGCGAATTGACTATACAGACTTCAAGTCAGCCACTCCGCTAACTACAGTTAGTTACTTAACGTTAAACCATGAATGACAATACGATTGGATAATAAAAAATATATATGAGAGTTGTTATGAAAAACAAATAAATAATAAATAAACTACATGCAAATTACCCTGAGTCCACATGAGCCCGAGAGCCACATGAGCCCAGAGAGAGAGAGAGAGAGAGAGAGAGAGAGAGAGAGAGAGAAAGAGAGAGACTATCAGAAAAGAAAAAAACGCTCACAGACGCATAGCTGAACAATAATTGACAGGGAAAGAAAAATTAAAGCACAACAATTGAAGATCACACAACACACAGCACAGGCAACAAATCACACACAAAGAAAAGCCAACACAAAGGCTATCTATATCTTATATCTTTATGGCGTTTCTTCCTCATAGTTTTTGCATTCCAAACTTGCATTTTGTAACCGCATACTTGATATTTCCAGTTTCTGGTAACACAAAATGTGAGCCTACAACTAAAAGTACATAATTGATGTGTTAACACCTATGATAAATTTTATTTGGAGGTTATGCGCAAAAACCTGCGACACCCAGTGGAAATGGAATCGTCCGAAAATGAAATTAACAACATTCCATTTATTTCCGAGTGTTGTTATATGTGTGCTGTTATTATAATGGCCGCTGTTATTATATATGTGTAATACACTGAATTGTTAATTCATTGATTGTATGAACTCACGCCTGCACTAAAGATCGTCTGAATGTTAATTATACGTTGGAATGCTTTGAGAATGCATGTGACATGGACCTAGATGCGTGGGAAGGATAAAGGCGTGATAGAAATCCACTGAAAATTGCGGTAAGTCCAGTCTAGCGACACCGATAGTGATCACTCGCATGATCTCGATATTAGTATACGAACAAAACAAACGTACGTCGAGCCTGGCAATCCGCGTTGTTCGCCAGTCAATATTGGGATGAAAATGAAGAATAAAACGTCGGGGTACGTTACGTGCCGATACGAAGATAACGGGTTCGACTCGTTTAGTTCACGTAGCGCCGTGCACGTGTGTCAACTATTGGTCACATCCAATAGTTCTACTCTCCATGTGAGCGATGCACTGCATGTGTCTGTGCCTATAGACACAGCATACTAGTTACTGTCGCTCTCTTTCTCTCTCTCTCTCTCTCTCTCTCTCTCTCTCTCTCTCTCCCTCTCTCTCTCTCTC